CTGCTCCAGTTCTCTCACTTTTTTCTCTAAGAGAGCAAATAACTTCCATTTTTTTAAATTTGAAAGCTGCACTGGTCTCAGGAAGAAGTACAAACATCTCACAGGTGATCCAGCTCACTTCTGCTATTGGGCAATCTCCATTCATCTTTCCTGATTCCTGGGAATAATTTGATTTCTTCCCAAGGCAGTTTTATTAAGCCAATTATACATACATGCCTGGAACTCTTCCTTTAGAACCTCAATGCCATCTTCAGATTCTTTTCCTTACATGATGTTCTTCTTGTTTCTGTAGAGCCATTGATGTTAGACTCTTCCAAAAGCAGTGGTGCTCATGGCATTTGAGTTGTGGACCCACCTCTCTCAGTTTTTCCAGGAAATAGGGATGGGATGTGTAACAGAAGCTGGGATAACCCCTTCTGGCTAATGAAAGTGTCTTCTCTGACATCCCCAAAATGGACAAACATGGAAGAGGGGGCTGAGGCATAGGAAGAGGATCATGTGTGAAGAAGATGAAGGAAGCAGGATAAGTGGTAGACCCTTCATCCACTACTAGAAGCTGCATAGTAACTTTCTAGGTTCTGCCCTGTCGTGGGGCCGGAACACTCTTTCTAATTACTCATACAGATACAGGCAATAAAAGTTTAAAGTCTTTTATTTTAAACAACATAAAGATACACAGGTGATGAAGAGTACAGGAGCCATTGATGGTAGTTCTAAGCAACACAGTTGCCCCCTCCTTTCTGACCTCTCTCAGATTTATGATGTACTTTTAACCCTACATGTACGTCCCTCCCCACGAGGGCTAGATAAACTCCTCTCCTTCCTTCTTTGACTTTTTCTCTCTTCTAATTGGCTCATACGCTGAAGTCTTCTCCTCAGCTGGGCATTCTTCTTGGCATCTGGATGTCCCACAGCCTGCTGAGCAACTCCTGCAGTCTGGACAAAAACTGTGTCAGAGTCAGGTGGCGGGGGTTGGGGGGCATTTGTGCTATTGGCACCAAGTAGAAATATTCTTGCTCTAAAGCCTGACTTTCACTGGGAGTTTCTCTTTCTCTTACACGTGCTAATGACTCCTCCAAGTTGTTACGCATGACATACCCTCCCCCCCTGCCCACCCCAGGATACAAATGAATAAAGTTGGGACCCAGCCCAAAAAAATCACCTCTCCTCTCCTAAGACACTTTTAGATCTCTCCAAGAATGAAAAAACATGGAGGGAGCACTGTTAAAATAATCCTTAAAACATGGAGATGCCACACATAACATAGTAAGCATTTAGGCAAGTCAGAGTGATGCTGTTATTCCAAAAGTTTCCCAGTAAATGTAGTGAAAATATGAAGAATTGAATTAGAAATAAAATATTGTTAGGTTGATATTAAACTCAGTTGGAACACACGGTATGTGTCTGTATGCACATTCTGCATTTGTATTATAGTGCAATCTCCTATAGGGAACCTTGACCTGTACAAGCCAGAATTAAACATTTAAAATTAAATTAAGATTAAAATGCAACATGTGTTCCTTGCGGGAACTTACATCTATACTTGGTTTTGGGCCAGGCCTACTGAGTTGAAACATATTTTGCCAAAGGCAGTCTACATAATTAAAATAAAATGTCAGGGTTACCTCAAAGGTCATCTAGTCCAGCCCTCTTCTGAGTGCAGGAGAAACTGCTGTTCAGACTATTCCTCCCATGGTATTCTGAGCAGGTTTCTGATAGCTTTGTGAGAGAGTTCCAGGCAATTCAGGGTGCCTGGAGCTCCTGAGCACAGAGTAAGGGTTCTTACCGGGCATGTCTGACAGAGGGAGGCTTGTAGAAAACATATGGCTGAAAAGTGACTTTTGTTGTGGCAATGATCCCACGAAGATGTTGTCTCCTTGCTGGTAATGATTCAGTGGGTCTATCTCATCCCTTTCCAAAGCCAAGGGGCACTTTGTCTTGGTCATCCCACAGGTGCCCTGGGGCAGCAGCAGCAAGAGCAGATTCATTCCAGGTACGTGGGATGAACCTCCATGCTTGTGGATGCACCCTCAACTAATTAGAAGAGGTCAAAGGCCCCTTGCAGGCCTGAGGAGCCCTGCCACTCAAGGCTTCCCATTCGCCAGGGATGGAAGGAGACAGACTTCATGTCTGCATGGTTCTCTTCTCTGACTCCAAAGCCCTTTGGTGGTGCTCTGTGGGCAAGGAAGCACTGATGCAGCACTCCTTTTGCACCTGGATGCAAGACGTCACCTGTTTCCTGTGATGTTGATGCCAGTGAACACATGAGTAAGATCTGGAAGAAGCTGTTGAGGCTAGTTTGGGGAGGAATTAATTGCTTTGTTTCTGGAAAGCCTGGTGGGACATGGCATCAGATTTGCAATGTCTTGAACTGCATTGCCTGGCTCCTAGCAATGGAAGAGTGTCAGATGAAATACAATAATATATTATGTATCATGCACATATTCCATAATAAATAATTACAAAATCCTTCTTTGAAGGCCTATGCAAGAGAAGTCAATCTTTCAACTGGCCTATCTGGAATGTGTAACAGGCTTTCAGGGGCATAACCTGAATGTGAATGCCTAGAAACAGACTGGAGGCCAGAGGAGTTGGCCTGCAATTATTCATTGTGGATATGTTGAGTTATTGAAGTCTCAAGGATAGGATGGACATGCACCAGGTAGGCATGTCATGAGTGAAGCTGGCTGGAGCCTGGGGTCAGACTAGATGGCCTGGGAGACCCCTTCTGACTCACTCGGTTTCTGTGTTTCTATCTTTCTAAATCCTTCCCTTGCAATAACTTCCAAAAGTACTTCCAGAAAGGTAGGACCCCAAGGGTATGGAATGGGCTTCCACAGGAGATGGTTGAAGCCTCTTCGGAGCTGGGGGTCAGACTAGATGGCCTGGGAGATCCCTTCTGACTTTCTCTGTTTCTATGTTCCTATGAATTGGAGGAGCCTTGCAAATCCTGCATTGGCATTCCTATAAAAGCAAGAGCTCCACACTGTCATCCCTATGTTTCATTTCCACAGCAATGATAGGTGTCCTAGCAGCTTCCTTAGGATGAGTGGACAGAAGGTAATCTTGTGGAATAAGGAGACTCAAAAAGAGGTCGTTGCCTGGCAGATTCCCTCAAAAGGTTTGGCTGAACGTTAACATGCATAGCCAGAGAGAACAGTCCCCGGTTTTGCAACCACAGAGACATGCAAAACAGCAAAGCAAAGTTGATTAATCAGAAAATGCAGAGAAGGCATGATATTCTCAACCTGATGCTGTCATCTTCCTGTAATGTGCCATCAAGTCATCTTTCATGTACGGTGACCCCCTGTCCACATCTGGTGCATCGGTGGTTGACTAATTGACATGAGCACCAGAACCCAGCCAGCGTGACTAGAGTCCAAAGTCCATTCCAAACCTTAACCAAAAGTCCAAGGTCAGTGTTGGGAAGGGAAGACTCAAGCAAGTCCAGTCCAAGAGGCAGAAGAATAGTCAAGCAAGCCAGGGGTCAAGAAAGCAAGGAAGCATTGCAGACAGGAGTTGGTACCTGAAGTAGGAGCAAGCAGGGGTGAAGAAACCAGCTGGGGTCCAGAAACTGGAGCAAGTTTAAAGAGTCAAGGTGGTAATGAACAAGGAGCACTGTGGCAAGTCTGGAGAACTTTGTTGCCAGCAGCTTCTGCAGGGAAGAGCCAGATTTTATGTAGCAGTGGTTTTTCACCTTTCCACAGCTGGGGAGCAATGATACTGGAAAACCACCTCAGGGACAGCAGAGGCAGAAACAAAACACACTGTACACATTATACAGTACTCTGTGTATTGCTTTGCAATCACAATACCTGTCATGAGGTGATCTCACATTTCAATTAACTCTCACAGCAGGCCGTATATCAGCTATAAACTTTTATTGCTACTTTATACAAGATTTACGACGTAACTGATAAGCTCTACTAACAAGCTCCCTGCCGGTGCAGTTGCTGCCTCTTAGTTCACTTCGAAAGCAGCATGTGGTATCAAACCTTCCTGTCTCGTCTTTCCACCTGAGGACATGACAGAGCTTTGTTCCTTCATTGCAATTGGCCCTCTCTCATTAAGGCTTTTCTGTCCTAGGCAGATGCTAATTCTTCTGCTGAATCCTGTTCAGCAGCTTCAGAGTCTGGAGCTGGGGGTGCATCTTTCTCAGGCAGTCCAGGCTGGAAACAGAGGGAGCTACTCTCTCAGACACTTCCCCCTTGGTCTGCAGGGGGGTTGTGTGCTCAGGGGCCAAGGGATGAGGTGGAGGAGAGGTTTCTTGCTCAGCAGCCAGACAGTCAGGCTGTGGCTGGGCTGTCTGAGCATTGGTTCTCAAATATAAGTCTCCTTGGTCAAATGCCAAACTCTCACTGCCAACTCCTGTCTCTTCCTCGCGAGTAGACGTCTCAGCCGAGGCATCATGCACGACAATACCAAAAGAATGAAAAATCTCCAAAACAACCAGAAAACAAGCAACAAAAAATGCCAACAAAAGAACAGCCTGCCGAAATTGGCATGGCATGCTTCCCAATGAGCTCTCACTGAGCTGTCTCTCCCCTCCCCATGGCAGCACTTGCACACCCATGCAAATGCAATGCCAATCAAGGAAGAGATGATGGAGCACAGCCAGCCCCTGGGTTGGTCCATGGTGAGCAGAATGTGCCCCCCCCCCACCCCATGGACCAGCAGAAAATGTTCTATGGATTTACACTGGTCCATGGAGCAGTGCTTGAAAACCAGTTATGTAGATTTTCCTCCAGGCCTCCCATGTGCACATGAGAGCCCTGGAAGCTGCAGTAGATTAGGAGACTGATCCTCCAACTACTAGGGCTGCTATGCTGCTCCTTGGCCAGCCGATGGAGCCCTGTGGCTGTCTCAGATGCTGGCACCTCATGAACAAAATTCTTCCAAAATGGCCTGTTCATGCCAACACTGTTCAGCCTCGTTCAGCCCTCAGCTGTTATTGATTTGATGTATTCCTTGCTCTTCATCATGAGATGCTCCTTGGTGTTCAGGTCAGGCTTCACTAGAATAATGTAGCACTTGGGGAAGAAGATGCAGCCCAGTAGCCCCGCGCTGGAGGTCAAGATGGAGAACACCTGCACAGCCACCATGTACTTGCCCCTGGTGCTCAGGTAAGTGGGCACGAAGGACACCCAGACACTGCAGAAGACCAGCATACTGAAGGTGATCAGCTTGGCCTCGTTGAAGGCCCCAGGCAGTTTCCTGGCCAGGAAGGCCACTGTGAAGCAAACAACAGCCAAGAAGCCCATGTAGCCAAGGGCAGCATAGAACATGGCCACAGAGCCTTCATTGCACTGTAGGATGATCTGCCCAGCCTGGGATTGCTTGTCAGAGTCAGCAAATGGGTGACTGGTTCCCAGCCAGATGGTGGAGAGGAGAACCTGGACACTGGAACACGAGATGACAATGGCATTGGCCAAACTCTTCCCCAGCCACCTCCTTGCCACATTCCCTGGCTTTGTGGCCAGGAAGGCCAATACCACAGTGATGGTCTTAGCCAAAAGAGAAGAGACAGCCACTGAGAAGATGATGCTGAAGGCTGTTTGTCGGAGGAGGCAGGTGATGTTTCTTGGCTGGCCAATGAACAGGAAAGATGATGCAAAGCAAAACAGGAGGGAGATGAGGAGAATGTAGGAGAGGTCTCGGTTGTTGGCCTTCACTACTGGAGTTTCTCGGAACTTTATGAAGATTCCTAATGTGCTCCCTGTGGTTACAGAAAGGAGTAGAGCCACACAAGTGAGGAAGGTCCCCAAGCTTTCTCCATGGGACAGGAAAGAGATGACCTTGTGGATGCACTTATCCTGGGCCTTGTTTGGATGCTGATCTTCTGGGCACTGTAGACAATGTTCTGCATCTGTTGAAAGCAAGAGAAGCATCTGATTTGTCGTAGGGCATGTTCCTCCAACATCCATAAGTTGGCTATCAAAAACTATTCTGATAGCCAACAATGTAGTCACCTGGAAAGTGGACCAAGATGTGTCTCCATATGTATTTAACTGCATGCATGAATAAATTCCTTCAGTTGAAAATGCCAAGGAGCTGCCACTGGTCTCCTTTTGAAGACAAGCATACCCTGGAATGGACTCCATCCCTTCCGTGTCTCACTGCAAGGAGGAATTTTGTTTTCTTGGAAGTGCAGGAAGTGCAGACTCCTGGTGTTCATGTTCAGTCAATCCACTGCCTCCCCCACAATCCAAGAGGAGGAGTGCCATGCTCCAGTCTTGGTTTGTATACTCCAGGGTGAAATGAATTACACAGAATGGATTCCATCTTAGGAATTTCCTAAATAATGCCTTTGTAGAATATGACTGAACTTACACAATCTCACTAAGACTGGTGGGTTGTCCATCATGGTTGTCATATCACATGACCTTCTGCTCACTGCTTCCTCCAAGGTGGTTCAGTCTGGCCAAACAAGCCACTCTAGCTGTCTATGGCTTCTTTCAAGAGGTTGTTCAAGCACAGATATGTAGGTTTCTCACTCAAACCCAGGACCAGCAGCCCTGCCTATTCCCTTCTACTCCACAGATGAAGAGGAGGTCATCATGCCTGGATCTGTCACTGTAAAAGGACCTACAGGAGGATGCTATGCAGCAATGCATGGCTGCTGCCAGCAACTCTCTCTGCTGTTTTCCTTTACCCTGCTAAGTTCTGGAATCAACAGGAGACTGGCTCTGGTGGTTCAAAAACATTAGGTGCTCATTCATCTCTTCCAGAAGAGTCACAGAGATTGGCTGTCTAACATCTCTCTCTCAGAAGAAGCTCAAATTGACCAAGGGAACCTGCATTTTCAACATTGACCACCATCCTCTTAGCAAGACCTTCCGAGTGGATGATTTGGTGTGTGCAAAACCCTCCAGAGGTCCTGCAAGCTCCAAATGCATTCTATATCACAGAGGTCATCAAGGTGGAAGAGAAGAGGAAGAAGATGTGTGCGGAATTCTCCTGAGGAATAACAGCTGAGGGGGACCTGAAGTGGGGTTCCTGGGTCTGAAGGGACAGAGAAGGTCACACTTGTGTGCACATCACCTCCCCTGTGGTGGGGCGGGGTGGAATTCGGCAGCAGGTAATGCATGGGGTAGAATTTCAGTGCATGGGACTGAGAGTCAGATGATCCAGTTTCTATTCACTGCTCAGCCACTTTGCTCACAAGGTGGGCTTGAGGATTACTCAAACTCTCAGCTGTACCTACCTCACTGGCCTTGCTCATACCTGTTAGAAATGGATAGACTATCCTGGAATCCCTCCACACATCTTGGACCTCATAAAAGCACACAAGTCCTCTTCCATTTCAGAATCCCAGCATGGACAGCTGAAGAACCCACCCTGGGTTGACCTTCACAACCCTCCTATGAACGTCTGAATTCCCCACACCCCAAATGCAGGAGTACCATTGCTGTCATTCTCCTCTGGATTGAGCAACCCTGCCCTGTTGCGTCCATGAGGAGATGCCCTGCAGTGGCATCAAGAGGAGAACTTCTTCATATTAAACTCACTGCTAGTCAAGCATTAAGAGAAATTTGGTATTAACTCCAAATTTGGCCCACCTCCTTCCACGCCGCCCGGACCATTGTGTCACTGCCTTGCAGCGATGCCCCCTCGGCAACCGGCTGCCACGCCGCCCTCCAGAGGCCAGGACCACCGGCCCAGGACCACCGGCCCAGGACCAAGGACCTGGCTCCGGCCTGCCTCCCTCGCACGGGTGAGAGGCGTGCTGGGACAGGGCGGAGCTGTGGCGGAGCTGCGGGAGGGCCCTGCAGCCCATAAAGCGCCATTTGGGAGCCGAGCGGGGGCCGAGCGGGGGGCTGGGCTGGCCAGGGGATATGTTTTAAATTGGTCCACTGGCCATGCTGCGCTGCTCTGTCACTGTTGCTGCTGCTGCCGCCGGACTGGGGCGTACCACCTAGCTGGGGGCCAGCTGACGCCGCTCCTGCGACCATCGCTGGACTACCCTGGGCACAGAAGACGCCAGGGCCATGTTAGGGAAGGGGGAGTGTTTTTTAATTGTTTTTATAATTTTATCATATTTTAATATGTGTTAATTTGTTTTTATGGAGCCGTCCATGGCCATGTTGACGTTTGTGTTTCCTGGGGAGCGTGGGGGCGCCACCATTGGGGTGGTCATGGGCAATGGACATAACAGAGGTGGGAGCTTAATGTGTCCACGTAGAAGAAGGAGGGACAGATGGTTGACACCTGTCCCTCCTTCTGGTTTTGCCCCCAGCCAGAGGGTTCCAGGTAGTCTTGTCAACCGCCCCTCAGGCCTGACGGTGCTGTTGCTCAATGCCAGGTTGGTCAACAATAAATCTTCCCTCATCCATGACTTGACCTGGCTTGCATAACAGAGACCTGGGCGGGAGAGGGGGGGATGTCTCCCTCTCTCAAATGTGCCCGCCCGGGTATCTGGTTCAGCACTGTTCACGCCTGGAGGGGAGCAGAGGGGGCGGTCGCGTTGGTTTACCGAGCCTCCATCTCTCTCACGGGACTTCCGGTCCCTTTGAGACCAGGGCTGGAGTGCCTCTACTTGGTGTTGGGCGACCGAGACAGATTGGGGATTCTGTTGGTGTACCGTGCACCCTTCTGCCTAACAGTCTCCCTGCCTGAGCTGACAGAGACCTTCTCAGACCTGGTGTTGAGGACCCCCAGGATGTTGGTCCTGGGGGACTTCAATCTCCATGCCAAGACTGGTCTGACCGGGGCGGCTCAGGACTTCATGGCCTCCATGACGGCCATGGGGCTGTCTCAACATGTCACCGGCCCGACCCATGAACGTGGACACACTCTGGACCTGGTTTTCTCGACGGGGAAGGAAGAGGGTGGTCTGAGGGTGAGGAATTTATGTTTGACTCCCCTGTCATGGTCAGATCACTTCCTGGTGAGGTTTGTGCTTGAGAGCGACCTCTCACTCTGCAAGGGTGCAGACCCGATTGTGTGGGTCCACCCCCGGAGCATGATGGATCCGGTAGGATTCCTGAAGGCCCTGGGGGAGTTTCCGGCTGACAAGACTGGTGCTCCTGTCAAGGCTCTGGTCGAACTGTGGAATGGGGAGATGACCAGGGCTGCGGACACAATCGCTCCTAAGCGTCCTCTCCCACTGGGCAGAGCCCACTCTTCCCCTTGGTATACACCTGAATTGCGGGCGATGAAGCGGGTTGGGAGACGGCTAGAGCGTAGGTGGAGGAGCTCACGGGATGAATCTGACCGAACACACTGGAGAGCCCAATATCGGGCCTATGCTGTGGCGGTGAGGGCGGTGAAAAAGAGGTTTTTTTCTGTTTCCATTGCCTCCTCAAAATGCCGTCCAGCGGAGCCTTTTCGAGTGGTGCAAGGCCTGGTTCATCCAGGTCCTAAGAAAGATCTGGTTCCACCCTCCAAGGCCCGCTGTGACGACTTTGCCAGGCATTTCAGGGAGAAAATCACTCAGATTTGTCACGAGCTAGACACCACTAGTGAATCAGAGGGTTCTGGGGAGACACCAATGCTGCCGTCGGGTTCAGAATTATGGATGAATTTCAGTTATTGCAGCCTGATGATGTGGACAAGGTGCTTGGACGAGTACATCCCACCACTTGCCTATTGGACCCTTGCCCATCTTGGTTAATAAATAATTCCAAGCACGGGATTGGGATCTGGATCTTGGAAGTGGTTAACGCTTCTCTGAGGGAGGCTCGGGTGCCTGCCCCTTTAAAGGAGGTGGTAGTCCGACCGGTCCTGAAGAAGGCGTCACTGGATCCAGAGATGGCCACTAATTATAGACCAGTGGCCAACATTCCATTTCTGGGCAAGGTGTTAGAGCGGGTGGTGGTGGGACAACTCCAAGCTCTGTTGGATGAAACTGATTATCTGGACCCATTTCAGTCCGGCTTCAGACCCAGGTACGGTAGTGAATCTGCCTTGGTCGCCCTGTACGATGACCTGTGCAGCGAGAAGGACAGGGGGAGTGGTATCCTTCGACCATGGTATCCTTCTGGATAGGCTAGTGGGATTGGGGGTCAGAGGCACTGCTTTGCAGTGGTTCCGCTCCTATTTCAATGGCCAATTACAGAAGGTGGTGCTGGGGGACTATGGCTCTGCACCATGGCAGCTATGCCATGGAGTACCGCAGGGGTTCCTTTTGTCCCCTTTGCTGTTTAACATCTACATGAAACCGCTGGGAGAGGTCATCAGGAGGTGTGGGCTGCGGAATCATCAGTACGCTGATGATACCCAGCTCTCCTTCTCATTTTCTACCAATCCAGTTGAGGCAGTGGCTGTGCTGAACCGGTGCCTGGCTGAGGTAATGGGCTGAATGAGGGACAATAAACTGAAGCTCAATCCAGACAAGACGGAGGTCCTGTTGGTTGGCGGATTGGGCTTTGGAGAGGGTGAATTGAGCTTAGTCCTGAATGGGGTTGCACTCCCTCTTAGGGACAAGGTCCGCAGCCTGGGAGTGCTCCTCGACCCAGAGCTTTCATTGGAAGCTCAGGTGACAGCGGTGGCGAGGAGCGCTTTCCTTCAGCTTCGGCTGATTCATCAGCTGCATCCCTACCTGGAGTATGACTGCCTGGCAACAGTGACACACACGCTGGTGACTTCCCGCCTTGACTTCTGTAACGTGCTCTATGTGGGGCTACACTTGAAGACTGTCTGGATACTTCAATTGGTTCAAAATAGAGCTGCCATGCTGCTGACGGGGACTGGGCATTATGTTCACATGACTCCAGTCCTCCGTCAGCTTCACTGGCTTCCCATTGAAGTCCAGGTCCAATTCAAGGTGTTGGTGATGACCTATAAAACTGTAAATGGCTTGGGTCCTGGTTACCTGAAGGAGCACTTACATACATATATGCCCGCCCGCCCCTTGATATCTGCAGGAGAGGCCCTTCTCCGGGAACCCTCCATGAAAAAAATTAGGAGTGTAGGTACTCGGAGGAGGGCTTTCTCTGCGGTGGCACCCAATCTATGGAATGCGCTCCCCAGAGAGATCCGCCTGGTGCTGTTGTTATTTGTTTCTCTGCGCCAGGCAAAGACCTTTTTATTTAAACATCATTTTAATTGTTAATATTATTTGCTTATATTATCTGGCCTGGGCGACTTATTTTATATTGTTAATTTTTTTTTATGTATTATATTTTATGTTGTGTGCCGCCCCGAGGTTCGGCGAATGGGGCGGCATAGAAATGTTTTAATAAATAATAAATAAATAAAAGATATTGGGAAAATAGATATGTATTACAATGCCAAATGCTGGAAATGTAAAAGGGTAGATGGGACCTTCTGTCATATATGGTGGACTTGCAAAATAACACAAAAATTCTGGAAATTTGTACATGCAGAAAATCCTTAAAATTAAGTTTCTGATGAGTCCTAAGAACATACTTTTGAATATTGTGCCAGAGAGCATTCAAAAATATGCCAGAGTTACTTAAGTATATGACTATGGCAGCAAGAATCAGAATAGCTTCAAAATGGAAATCACTGGAGCCCCCAGCATTGATGAATGGAGAAATAGATTGGCAGAATATGCAGTGATGGCAAAGCTGACTAATTATGTACACAGAAGACCATTAGAGGAACTTAATGACAAATGGAAATGTTATTGTGCTTAGCATGATAAATGGAAGTCCACGAGAGTTTGGAATAGAAAAAGGAAAGCATTAGAATTTGGACTGGTTAGAAAGTTTGTTGATGTATAGAATAATTATTATTTTTTCCTTTATGCAAACTCTCATAGAGTGTGGGAAGATATGAAGTGAATCGGTTCTGGGGGCTGCATTATATGGGCCGTGTTTTTTGTACTTCCCTTGGCAACTTTGTTTATTTTGCTCACTTCAATCTGTTCTGTTACCGTAGAAGGAGAAACAGGTGTAACGGCAAAACACCATGCATGAGAGGTGGAGGAAGTTCTGGATAGGTGAGCTCCAGATGCAGGATGTGGGGGCAGTTGGGGGAGCATGGAGTGCTTCCCAGAAGTAGCCCATAAAGGGAACACACACCTCTGATGCACAGCAGGCCAAATGAAAGAGTGACTGCTGAAGCAATGAAGGAATGAGGGGTTCTGGGGTAGAGAGCACCGCAAAGGACAACGTACATGCACTGATTCCAAGACTATTCTGCTTGATGCTCTAGAAACCACCAGGCCATCCAGGATTCTTTGCCGGAAATGAAAATGTACCCCATATATTGGTTGGATCTTTGTTCTCCTCCCAGGCATTACCTTTTCCTCTGTACTCACCCACCTTCCCAAGTGGAGATGGTCCCTTCTGCACAAGGCACACAGTCATAGCAGCAAACGGGCTCTCCTTCCCGAGCCACCTTGAAGAATCCCGGGTGGCAGCTTTCCACACACTTGGACTGGGGCAGGGGCTGAGTGAGAGAGAAGGAGCATCAAGGGAGGTGGGTTGGGGATGAAGAAACTGTGGGCTCAGGGTGAGGGGAGAGTTAGGAGAAAACTTCTAAGATTTCAGCTGATTCCATAATTTAACTGAAACATGTATAGCAGAAGTTGCTTGACTTTTTCCCAATTATTCTCATTGCCTCAGTTTAATACACATGTTACACATAATGTTAGTTAAGAGATGGTCAATGAATATGCTGAAATGAAGCAGATGGCTTTCCTCACCTTATCTTGCCATCTGGGCCACGCAATGGGAACTTGGTGCATGGTGAACTTGGGACCAGGCAGCCCCCATCTTTCCAGACTCCCAACTTTCACTCTTACAACAGTCTCATTCGGAAACTTCACCCAATTCACAAGGTCCAAGTTGGCTGCCAAGTCTCCGTTTTCATCCAAATACACCCCATCAATCGAATGATTGTGAAACTGGGGGTCTCTCAGAAAAGGGTGAAGCTAGAAGAGCAGAGAAATCAATAGCAATGAGGGAAACGAGAAGCCACATTTCCTGCCCAGTTTATCCCTCTTGACTCAGGGTTGGTTCTGGATTGATGTGTTAGGGAAAGTCTCTTAAAATGAAGAAGGATTCTAATTTTATTGCATGGTCTGCTTTAGCAATTTAGGAAGCAGAGATTTGAAGCTTCTTTGCTGAAAGGAAAGGGAGGCCAAGGGAAATATTTTAAGAATCCTTACAAAGCACAAACAGAAGCCAGCTGCCCTTCTCAAACTGACCTAGAAGTTCATCCAACTGCACTCAATAGGATTTACCTTTGAGAAGGCTCACAGAAAGATTCATTGGAAACATTTGGTTTGTCATGTGCCTGGAAGAGTATCTCAATTTAAAATTGAATTAAGCCTCAACACTTACAGCTCTATCCTTCGCTCTGCTTTCTATCAATCATGCGTCAAAGGAACAATGCACTGGTGAAAGTTTGAGTCAAGATCATGGCAGAAGGAAAGCCTGGCATTCTATGGTAAAAATGACATTCTCTTTTTAAAGCAGTGCATCTTTCCACTGAAGACCTCATAGATGTTGAGTAAGTTCTCAAAACATGCTAGTACATACTCATTCAACTGGATGGACTTGCTGAAAGATGGATTAATGTGTGGTCAGAGCCCAACTGAGAAAACAAGACAGAGCTTGTTCACCAGAAACCACCCATGAAGGAAATTACTGATTTATGGCCATGTTGCCAAGAGTAGGTGGTGCACCATGGTATGTTCTTTCAGCTGAGTTCAGACAGAATAACAACCCATGTTTCAACAGCAAGCCATGAATCAATTGCAAACCACAAAGAACCACTGAGTTTATATTATTATATTGTCCAAATTTGGTCAATGGAATAGCTTGAAGAATTTGAACAAGGCTGTCTAACATCCTCACCCTCCTACATTCTGCTTCAGGATGCTGTGAAACAACTCTAGGGGCCATGAGCATCCCAGCAAGGGATAGAACATCCCAGGTGAAGGGATAAAAAGAGGATCAGCAGAGGGATTTCTCCAGTTCCCCCAAACATATGCAAAATCTCACCTCAATCTCTGCAATTCACCATGCAAGGCAATGATATCGAAACTGGACAATTAATTGCAATGTTCAACAGAGATATCTGTGAAGGGGAATGCAATACCTGCCATGGCTGAAACCTTTGAACACCCAGCCTGCCTCCTGCTTCCATCTGCATCCTCTTGAATCTGGAGGAAAAAGCTGCATCCACAGCCCTGGCCACAGCCTGGATAGTGTTGTATGAGAAGAAGCTGTCCAGAGATAGGATTCTCTCCTTGGTCGCTTGCTGGACTCCCCACAGTTTCTCCTTCTGTCTACATCTTGTCCACCCTTTCACTGCCTTAACATGCTTTGAATATGAACACTTGAATGATGCATTCATAAATTGAAGCATAGCAGCATAAAAGGGAATAGTGTTTCTCCATTTAGTTGTTGGGAGAATGAAGGAAAAATACATGGCGACATACTGGACATCAACAGTAGTATAAGCCAAATCCTCATCTAAGTCACTCAAAGATGTGGTGATCCAGACTTTCCCTGCAATGGGTTTCATCCAAAATGCAATGGCTGCTTCTAAAAGCTCCATTCCATAGGACCAGACATAGTTCTCTGCAAAATGAACAAAGACATTGATGTCTATCAACTTCTTTGCTGACTCGTAATTGAAGTCCACATGAATTGATCTCTGTTTTTGGAAGTTGAGTGAAAAAAGCACGCAAATGCCATTCCTGAGGAGCTCAGGTTTCATTGTGCTCATGAACTTCTCTCCATTATCACTGTCCAGAGAAAGGAGACCAACCACTGTCCATCTAAAATGCAGCAGGAGCTTGACAATCCCTGGGTACTGGATCCCATCTTCAGGGACCATTGAGTAACGAAAACGGGAGGTAGTTTTATCAGGCAGAACCTGAGAAGTGAAAGCATAAGTGACCTGGGAAGGAAAGGAAGAGATGGATGGATTATTTTGATTCAGAATGAAATGTTTGGTCTTCATCTCATGAGATAATACCAATTAATAGTTTAAAAGCTGATTGAAACATCTTTCCCAAAGAAGTAATATTTACTACTCACTGAAAATTCAACCATTGATGCATCAAAAGTATTCAGTACTCATAAAAGTGTGTCATCAATAGCGTGAACTATCAAACATTTCCTGAGCTTCCATCCTGGAACTAAGTTCCCAACACTTGATCTCAGTTTTGGTTCTAAGAGATGGCCCAAGAGAATTGCCCCACACCCCTTCTCCTTTTCTTCTTGGGTGAGATGTATATGAAAGAGAAGAAACAATCCAGTCTATGGATGGTGGGATTTACCCTCAAGTGCAGAACTTCTGGCCAAAAGAAAAAGATTCACCCATCATTGCCAAACGGGGCCCTGGTGTGAAATTGCTTCCCACAAAGCTCCCACCTGCGGGATTTTGTAGATGCCCATCATGTTGGAAAGCTGAATGGAATTGTCAGAGTCAGAGGATTCAAGAATGGCCAGCATTTGATTTTGTCTTCCACACTTGTAGTTGGGAACATGGGCCTGAGAGGTCGAAAGCAGGTCTACACCTGCTTCGGAAGTCATTCTTGCATCAAAATAGTTCTCATAGATGTTGTAGCCCACGGTGATGTTGGGCAAGAGCCTGGGATTCTGGTTGATCTCCTTAATGGCAAACAGGAAGATGAGGATCTTCCAGAACTCTGTGAAATCACGCCTAAGAAAAAGAAGTGTAGATGGGTCACCTTCCAACACATTGTCATGAAACTACAAGATGGTTTGGATCCTTCAGCTGTTGCCCGTTGAAGCTGTGTCTATCCCTATAACCTGCTTTGAGAGCTTTTCACACACTAGCACTGGTTGCAGTCTAAGGACAGAAACCCCAATGCATATCCCCTCTTCATTGTGGGTGGGGAGTATTCTGGGAGGAGGAGGCACTCCTGGTTTCAGTGTCAATATCATTCCTACATTTTAAAACAAATACAGCACAGATGCAGCTTCCAGTGCTGGAATTCAACATGTGCCACCATTCAAACTAAAATGGGGATTAAAGGCAGAATATGAGAGAAGTGTGAACGATGGGGCAGTGTCTTCAACTTGGGGCTCTCCAATCGCCTTGGACTTCAACCCTGGGCAGTGCTGACTGTGCATTCTCTGACTGCCTTGAGCATGAAAAATGAGCCACTGGGAAGGAAGTGCTTTGGCTTTGCATGCCAGGTCAACCTGAGATACCTGTGTGCCCATGGGGTGTAGTTGTATCATGTGAAACAGCTAAAGGACTCACTCAGCCAGGTGATTGAAGGCAGGCTTCTGGAAAGTGTACGATAGAAAATGACCACTTATTGTGGAGATAGCTGCAGCAATGACAAAGTTGCCTGGCCTGTGATAATTCAGTGGCTGAGGGCCCTTCCTTTCCCAGTTCCAGGAACATTTGGCCTTCCTTGTACCACAGGAGGCCTCGGGGAGGAGCAGCAGCAGGAACAGCAGCCTCATTCTGCCTCTGCCAGGCACAAGCACCTCCTTACTTCTCGAGCAACTGGAGGATTGATGAGGAGGAGAGGAAGGTGCCCCTTCCAGAATGAGGCTTGACCAGTTCTCCAGACAGAGATGGAGCCTGCGGCCAAGGCTTCACCTGTGGGGATGAAGAGAAACCACTGGCACAAAGACTGCCTGCCCTGCCATACAGCGTCTCTTAAGCTTTCGGTGGCATAGGAAGCCTATGTGAGACTTTCCTTCTGTGCCTGGATGCAAGGCAGCACCTCATGGGGCTACCAAAACCCATGTTTACAACACAGACTCAGAGGTGGCATTTTGCGGGAGGGGATCCCTTGAGTCTGAGCAACAGCAGCAATCCAGCCTTGTGATTTCCATAATTATAAGGTCCCAAAGGTGCAACACCTCTGTAGCTTTCCCAACATTTGGCTCCGTGGCATGTGGATGAAAACATGCACCTGGGAACTCCCTGATGCTGCTCCTTTATAGGATCCAGGAGTGAGATACTCTTTCTATTTGTGTGCACTGTAATTAGCTCTGATGGGGCAACCATACATGCTTGCTGTGTTTTTCCTCAGCATTGCTGCTGTTGCCAGGCAGAATTTTATTTATTTATTTATTTATTAGAACATTTCTATGCCGTCCCTTGCTGAAGCCTCGGGGCGGCTTACAACACAATAAAATTCAATAAAATACAAAAATAACAATATAAAATTAAAATTAACAATATAAAATAAATAAAAAATATAAAGAATTGGCTCTTTACGGAGAGAATTTGGTCCAAAGCACACGTTTGCTCCCTATTTGGCTGTTTTCTATTTTGTGGAGCTCCCTGCAGCCCCCTGGAGGTTCAGCTCAGGCCATCTCTTATGAGTGCCATCTTTACAAGTCAGAATAACATTAGTCTTGTCATCCAGCTGGGGCTGCATGATGTGAGAGGCATCGATTCTGCCAAAAATGTGCACCAAGAGGGCCAGCTCAGAAGGTCAGCAAGAGAGAAAGCCATGATGGGGGAATG